GGAGAGGAGAACCCGCAAGCTTTTTCCTCCCGATTCATCTCCAAACCCAACCACACCCAAACCATTCTTTTTCCCCAAAAATCAAACTTTATTTTCCCCACAGGTCCATCGCTCCAACAAACCCATCATCTGCAAGGGCTGCAGGAGAACCTTCACCAACAGCCTCTCGCAGGGGCTGCGGCGCTTCGGGCTGTGTGACAGCTGTACCTGTGTCACCACCACCCACGAGGACCCGGTCCCCATCAACCTGAGCCTGATGGAAACCTCGGAGGGACAGGACAAAGGGGACAATGACAACGATTGGCCGATCTACGTGGAGTCTGGAGAGGAGAATGATCCCGCTGAGGATGATGATGATGATGATGGGGAGGACAAACGGGAAATCCAGCGGGGTTTGGACAGAGAGACGCTGATGTAGCGGTGAGAGGAGAGGGAGAGCGTTGAGATGCTCCTCCCAAAGAAAATTTCTCATCAGTGACACTGTGCTGGTTTTTTATTATTCTGTGTTTTTTTTTTAATTAAATCCGAATTTTTTTTAAGTTTTCGGTGCTGCGCACCTGAAATCTGTGAAGAACTTTCTGTCTGGGGTTCACAGAGGTTGGACTCGAGCAGTTTCTCTGCCTCCTGGTTTTGGTTTTACACCTCTGGGTTCTTCTGGGGATGGGTTTATTCAAATAATTCTGTCCTGGTCCTTAATCCCTGAGCTGAAAGGGGCACCAGCTTCTCTCTGAAGATGAAATGTCGTTTACACCTCATCCCTTGGGACTTCTCCAAACTCATCTRCGATCCTTCTGTCTTAGAATTATAATTATCTAAATTATAAACCTTAAGTGTTTGCTCGGACCGGATTTGACCTGGAAACCAGGGCAGAGAAACCAGGATAACAAAAAAAAAATTAAAAATAAGAATGCTGCTGATGAAAGGATAGATAGGAACAATAAATCTATTTCACATGTCCTTAACTGCAGGAATTTAGAGATGAAGCTTTTTTTTTTCTGAATTTTTACTGCATTTTTCTCTCCTTAGAGCTCGTGCTGCAGATCCTTTAATGTCATTTTAATGTCACATCAGTAGTCTTGGCTTAAGAAACGTTAAGCACAAATGACGGTGTCTCATGGCCTGGACTAAGAGAAAAGCCCAAATTCTTTTCAGCTTTTTACAATGGGARTTAAAAGCTGTCGAGCAGGTTCCTTGGGAACTCTGGCAGATTGAATAACCACATCCACACCTGGTGTGGCTGAGGAGCAGTGAAATATCTTTAAAAGAGCTCTGAAATCTCTTTTTGAACCCTTTTTTTTTTAAATATAAATTCTTTCAGAATGTGGGGATTCTTTCATGATTTATATTTTGTGATTTTATCCAATATTTATTTTTTTTTTTTCTGAAAATTTCCACTGTGGACCTCCTGTTCCTTTGCTGGGGTAGCTAAAGGCGTTCAAAGGAGGTGAGATTTTATTKCCTTTCCAGCAGCAGGTTGATAAGAGCCATCAAATCTCAGGCTGGGAAGTTTTAGAGGAAAACTTTTCCTTTAGAGGAAAACCCACCACCAGGAGAAAACCTGTTTGCTTTGGGGTGACCTCCTGTCCCCTGAGCAAGGGACAAAACTGAAATAATATACTGTGAAATGAGACTGTTAATGCTTCTTCCGCTCTGCTGTTCCTAAGAAGGCAAATTTTGAGTTTTTCTAACTGGAGAAATGCTGGATCAGAATTCAGTGTTCAGAATTCAGACGGATTTGCAGCTCCTCCCACTCGAGACTGTCTCTTRAGGGTTTTGATATAAATATTTTACACCTAAAAAACCAAGAGYTCTCTGATTTAACCAGTTTTTTTTTTGCCTGGATACCTCGAGATTTTTTTTTTTTTTCATGTTGGAAAAGAACAATTCAGCTTCTCCCTCTGCTTCATCCAGCAGTGGAACAGCCCCGCTGTGATGGCAGATTTATTGGGGAGAGGTGATTCTGCTCTCACGAGCGCAGCCAAGAATTCATTGCCACACCAGGGAGGGTGAGGAAAGAAGAAAAGAAAAGAAGAAATGAAATTCTTTTCAAAGAAATCGCTTTGCTGAAAAGAGCAGAAGGTAAAGAGACTTCTTTTGATGTGATCTGGGCCGAGTTCTTGATGAGTGTCACCACGTAAAGTGCTGGTTTTATTTTCTGTCCCTTAATTYGGGTGAGTTTCAGTCAATCCCTGCTCCAGGTCATCTGTAAATTTGRGATTTTTTGTAGCTGGAACACATCACCATGGAAAATCATTGCTGGAGTGAGATCTTTACAGAATTCTCTGCTCTAGAGCCCGAATTTTAGTGAATCTGAGTTAAGGGACATCGGAAGGACAACTCGTGAAGGTGCCAGATGTGGAATTGAGCTCYTCTGAAAACCCCGCTGTGGTTTTGGCTCCTTGGCGCTCTTGAAAACCCGAGTGAAACTTGTGCTTGTGAATCTCACTGGAATGTTTGGAAATTCCCTCCCAGGCTCATCTTTCTGACTTCTGAATTTTTGGTGAGTCCATCCAACACCAGAGAGTGAGGAAGGAAAYGCAGGAGGAACTGAGAGCACGGAATGAGCCACGGATGATCCGTTTTTTGTTTTTGAGGAATGTAAATAAAGATCCCAAACGATATTTAACGACCAGCGCTGGTCAGGAAGATTCCACCTTGCTGTAAATATTGGTAAAAGCCACCAGAGCTGGACAATCAGGTTCTGGCTGGTGCTCCACAAGCGTGGGAGAAGCTCCKGTGCCGCCTCTGATCCTGCTGGGAGCAGGGAAATCAAAACCCCGGGGAGCTGCAGAGAAATTTCCCTTTGTCTTTGGTCTTAGAAATGGTTCTTGTGCGTCTTGTGCCTAGAGAATGGAGCTGTCAGGGGGCCGGGGCGGGCGGGGGGTTGGCTTTTTCCCCACCAAACTCGGGGTTTCCTGTTGAATGGTCATTTTTGTGCTGCTTTGTCCTCTCTGCTTTCGTACGTAGTTTAATCCGCGTTCTCGTCAGCGGGGTGTTCATGTAAATCTGTTTGCTTGTGCTTTTTCCGCTTCGTTTTCTGGATGTTTTTTTTTTTCCCTGAAATTTTCCGTTTGTAGATTCAGCCTCTTTTTGAGAAAACGATGTTGGCTGTTTTAAAAAAAAAAAATCTTCCTACGGTGCTCGATGAAGAATCCAAAATCATGTTTTTAGGAGGGTTGTTTCTAATAGAATCTCATTCTCCAAGGTTTTTAAACATATCTTGAAAAAATCTTAGCTCAATGTGCTCGACTTTGTTTAGGAATACACATTTTCCTGTTTTAGGAATGCACATTTTCCTGTATTTTTGCACAAAAAATGTGCCGTATTTCACTGAAGGAATACATTTGAACCTCTCGGTGCAAAGCYCTTGTAAATCTTCCCAATGTGCTCGTTTGATTTCCTGATGTTTTGTAAGAAAGTTTCATAACCCGAGTCCTTTAGTCCAGTAACGATGACGAATTCTTATAAACTGAACCTTATTTGTAGAAGTGACTGAGATATATTTGTGGAWCTTGGAGCGTTCTGGAGTTTTTTGATTGTCTAGAAAATAAAACTCTCTGAGAGGGTTGCTTTGATTTTTTTTTTTTTTTTTACCGTTCAAATGTTGACTGAGTAAACCTGAGAGTGTCCAGATTGAGGCTGATGTTTCAATTTCTTGAATTAAAATCAAATAATTAACATTTCTATTGAATTAATCCAATTAAAATGAATATATTCATTTCTGGGGACAGCCAGTTTGCAAGAAGAAAAGGAAAGKTTTTTTGGAAGGAAAGAACTAAAAGGATCCTGTTTATTTAAACTCCAATCAAGCGAATATTTTAGAAAATATTTTATTTTACTAACACTGACTTGTTTTTCTCAACAATCTGTGTAGTTTWATGCTAATTCAACTTTTAAAACTCTTTCAAAATTTATTTTGATGCTGGGAAGCAAACACCGATACCAACTAGGAGGAAACACATATGAGGGAACAGCATCCTAAATATTTTTTTCCAGCTAATTTTGAATTTTATTGAATATTTCACAAATTTGCTGCAAGAATACAATTTTTTTTTGTTTGTTTTCATGGAAGATGTGAGTTGCTGGAGAACTCAGGATTGGTGAAAAGGATTCTTTGTGGAGGAAGGAGAGAGGAAAGCCGGGCACTCAAGAGCCATCAAAGGGTGTCAAAGGACTCGTTAATGATTTGGGGAAGGAGAATTGTTTGGATGCAGCCCGAAGCCATCAACATGAGCTCTATGCAAATCTGGGACATTTGGGTGTTCCGGGAAAGAGGGCGAAGATAAGACTTTAAAAGGGTTTTAATTGTTCTGCTGGAACAGGATTAGGATTTCGGGTTCCAGGAGCTCTGCAAACGCTGCCACCGAATCTCAGGCTTTTCCCAAATTTTACCTCCCAGGACTCCAGGGGTTTGGGACAGCACATTCCGATTTTTCAGAATTAATTAATTTTGAGAAATTAATCAAAGCGATCTCCACAATTTACAGGATTTGTACCCGAAGGTTTGTATTTCTGGGAAATGAAGGCGCGGCTCAAATCCTGGGCGATTGGACTCTCCTGCTTTGCTCCTTGGGAAAGCCGAGGACAGGAAAAYGATGATGCAAATGAAGAAAAGCCCAACCCAAGCTGGGATTGATCACATGAAAATTGTAATCTCATTCTTAATTAATCTCCAGTCAGGTTTTGAATGGTTCCTGAAGTTGTTCTGCTGTAGGCCCTGGAATTTTCCTTTGGATAAAAATCCCTGGGTATTTAAAGTCAGAAAATGCACCACCACTGAAGGCTGTGATTCTCGAGGAACRTTTATTTTGAGGAAAATAAATATTTTAATTGRTGCCACKGTTAATTAGACACTTATTATATATKATACTATTATATATTATTACTGTTAACTCTTAAYCTTATTTGGTTACCAAACCCAATGAAAAATGCACTTTAATTTTTTTGTATCAGCAAGAAAAATGCGATTTTTTTTTTAGATTAATTGATAAATTGTTCTCTGAAGAGCAGACTCTCAGCCTTGCTCTSTCACTCTGGCTGTGAGAAGCACCTCCTTCACCTCCTTCACGCACATTCGCAYGGATAAACTCTCCAAAGAGCATCTCAGCTTCGAGTGCAACTTTCTCAGCTCTAAAAATCTAGAAAAATAAACCAAAAAAAACAACGCACTGCATTTCTGGGATCAGCACGGTTGGTTGGGGTGTGGCATTGGGCAAAAAAAGGATGAAATCGGCCTCATGGGTGAGAAAACCAAAGTTTGTTCCGTGGCTGTTCCTGGAGTCACAGCACAGCTCTGAGGAAAAGCACTTGCAGCATCTTTAAAAATTCTAATTAAGCTACTCCAGACATCACTGACATTTTTTTCGCCGTGTTTTTGAAATTCTATTGCCTGCTCCTGGCAGATGGAGAACCCTCGAGCTCCTGTTGACAACCCCCGCTGATAGAGGACTGAAAGCACCACTCGGGCCAGTCAAACACGACAAATACCTGCAGATAATTCTTTTCCATGGGAAACTTTCAGCTGATGGAATAATTTGGGCATAAATGAGAAAAAAAATTAAGTAGAATGTTGGTTAAGTGAAGGTGTCCCTGCCCATGGTCTTKAAGGTCTTTTCCAGCCCAAATCCTGGGATTCTGTGATTCCATTTATCTGCTTAGTTGGCTTGACAGGCAAAAAATAAACTTGAAAGGAAKGAATTCAAGAGAATTAAAACCTGATACACAAATAAATGGTTTCCATTAACCTGATTGTTTAGCTGTTTGTCTTCTCAGCTGTGAGAAGCTGGTGTAAATTCCAGTTTTTTGGTGTTCAAGAATGATTAATTTAGAGCAGAATCTTACAGAAACAGAAATCTCATGAAGATTTTAAAGGCATGGTCTGAGTTTGAAAGGACAATCTACAAAATGAAGGATGCTCATTAAAGAGGGGGAATTAAGCTGGAGAAAAATATTTTTCCATATAAAAAACCCATATACATATAAATAATACATATATATWTATAAYATTAATGGATCTAAAYTGGAAATTAATAAATTTATAGGATATAGGAGAATGCTTCTAATGGTCAAAGGTAAGGGAGTTTTGCATTGTTATCTTTTAGATAAAAAGTCTTTAGTAAAACATGAATTGTTTCAAGGTGGAACATCTGAAGTTACAGAAGGCCAAGAATGCCACAAAGGACTYGGTTAAGGAAGAATGGTTTCCATGGGAAAATAAATATTTATGAAAAATAACTGGGGCGTCAAAATCACAGGAAAGACCCTGGTGGTAAGAAGAGGAAGGAGAAAGACACTAAACTTCGAGGGGAGAGAAGGTGAGAGGTTCAGGTTTCGCTTTCACTCATGTTTCCTTCAGAAGATAACAGCTACCAACAGAGAAAAGAAGATGTCACATCTCCTTTGGAGGACGCCGCGAGAGAAAGGAGCAGGATTTGGGTCATCCAGGCCCCTGCTATAGATAAAGGTGTGAAAAAGGAGGCATCTAGGGCATCCCATCCCCTCCCGGGCAGCATGTGGGTGTGGGAAGCGGCGAGCGGCGGCGGCCGCGGGGCGCTCGGGCCRGGGAAGGCGCTGGGCTGCGGCTGCAATCGGTGCGTTGCCCCTTTAATTGTGTCCCCAGCCCTCGGGCGTCTCTGTCCAACGCCCACGTCAGCAAATACCTTTTGTTTCTCTCCCGTTCGGGCTCGCAGGGCTCGGGGCTGCGGGAGCAGCGGCGCGTCGCCTCCAGGCACGGCGAGCCCCGAGGCGGGGCCGGGGACCCCGCAGCCACCGCCCGCTCCCCCCGGCTCGGCGGCCG